TCCATCAAATGGGCTCACAAGGAGCATAATATAATCAGAGACATATAATACAATTGTATTATATGTCTCTGATATAATATAATTATAATATTATTTTTACAAATATAATAAACAATACAGTATACATAGTTACAAACACAAATAAGAAACAACAGTTTTCACATATTCATATATATATAGTATATATAAAACCTTGGTCTCAGGCACACCTCTAGAAAGTAACAAAAAAGAATTCTGTGAGTAGGCTACATATATCTAACTTAACTACAGGAGGCACCAAGGGACAGTGCTATATGGCATGGTGGGTGCATATTAAAATGTGTATCGGGACATTAACATGATTAATGATATGGTAAGAAGTTGCACATAACTGGCATGTCATCCTCGTGCCTGGTGCAGAGGAGTCAGTACTATTTAAAGTGACACAACTGCAAGAGGCACCAAGGGACAATGCTAATTGATATGCCAAAGTGCACATATTACGAAAAAGATAAAATATTACCAGTTTAATAAAAAAATATCACAAACAGAAAGTTAATAGAACTTATACGATGTGTCCTGTACCCCACCATGCCAACCTCGTGGCTAGTGCAGAAAGCCTGATTTAAATATTTATCTTTCAATTTGTATTTTGTCTTCATCAACTAACTCACAGACAGATATCAAGATATCAAGATTCTCTACATTAAGAAGCCATATCAGTTTTTGGCTAGGAATCAAATGTGTAAAGTTTGGGCATAGTGAGTTAATAGTGTAATTTAAACAATTTCTCTTATCTTGAGATGATGTACACGAAAATAAAAAATGTTTTTCATCATCAACTTCATTTGAGGTGCACCTGAGACATATTCTGTCTTGTTGGAGAGTACCCTGATAGCGACCTTGTTCAATTCTTAGTCTGTGAGAAGAAATACGCAATCTAGTGAAATTTCTCCTCTGCTCAGGTGATTGTAATAAAGTAAGATATCTTTCAAGACCAAAATGAGTCTTAACAGTGCTATAGCTACAAAGCTTCCCATCAGCACAATTGTGCATTTGTTTTCTCCACTGTATTTCATAGTGCTGATAAAAAAACTTTTTAATTAAAATTTTGAATCTAAAGTTGCTTGCAAAGGCTAGACTGTCAACCCCATTAATTTTTTTTGGCAAATAGTTTAAAGATCCATACCAAGAGGGAATTTTATATATATATATATATATATATTTAGCATTCTGAAAATTTATACAGAATAACAAACAAATTAAACCTACCAAGGATTCTTCAAAAAATCATTCCGAAAGTGACACGCCAAAACAAGACGGAAAAAAAACATGCAAATAGTAAGTGAGTGTCCTCTGTCATTTTCATTTTTAAACAATAAATTTGTTTTTCTCTAAATAGTTTTTTTATGGGGGGCAAAAACATACTTCTATTCCTTTAGCCCCTCACTTTTAGGTAAGATAGTTTAATATATGGCCAGACAATATTACAAGTGTCTTTTTGATTTCTCAATTTTTTCTCAATTTTTCTATATTGTTTGAGAAAGCCTGCAATTTTGTCACAAAAAAGACAAAAGTGCATTTAAAATTTAAGGGTAAGATTTTTTTAAGGCTGTTATAAATAGGGTGGGTAAATAAAACTCTAAACATGAAAATTCTGGCAAAACTAACTACACTATGTAGTATATTTTATAACCTATGTGCATACATGTATCTCATAAAATAAAGGTTTTATTCTTTTATTCATATAAAATATAGTTACAGCACTTGTTTTTAATTTTTTATAGTCCTGTTCTACTTCCCTTTTATGCTTTAATTATATAAATTAACATACAAACGTGAGTTTTTAAGATTTAACAAAATATGGAGAATCATCCATAAGACATGTTCAGGGGAGACAACTCTAAAATAAAATGAATATGAAACTCAAGGATCTGTTATTACTATGAAAACAATAATATCCCAAATTTCAGCTTAATACATGTAGATACAAATAATGCTGAAAACAGAGGAGAAACTTATTTTAAATTTATAAGTACAAATAGTAATACTATATTTAAGTTAAAATAGGTCAACTGGAAAGAAACTTGTGAGTATTCTGCAACTATTTATTACAATAAACTGTTATCACAGAGATTTGTCTCGATTTTTTGTAATTTGGTCATGCAAATGTTGAAATTAAAATAGCAATATTTTAACATGTTACATAAGTTAGGAAAATATTCAAAGTCAATGAACCATGACTGAGGTACATGGCTAATCAATCTCCATGTAAATGAGATGTGCCAATGCTAATACATGGATACCAAATACCATTGACTTATTATAAGTTGTTCCTTTTAAACAAACCTAAACACAAACATAAAACTTGTAAACTATGTAAAAGTTTCAAAGTAAATGAACCATGAAGAGGGGGTGGAGCTATACAATCTCCATGGAAACGATACTTACAAATGTCAATAAATTTGCATACCAAATATCATTGACTTAACATTAGCAGTTCATCTTAAACTGATCTAATCACAAACTAATACATGTAAACTAAGCAAAAAATTCAAAATCAATAGTCCATGACTGAGGGACAAGGCCAAATATTCTGCATGGAAATGAGATGTGCTAAAGCTTAAACAACTGAATACCAATTAACTTTGGCCTACCACTAATGGTTCCCCTTGAACTGACCTAATCACAAACTAATACATGTTAATAAAGCAAAATTTTCAAAGTCAATAGACCATGACTAAGGGGGCGGAGCCAAACAATTTCCATGGAAATGAGATATGCCAATGCTTATACAACTGCATACCAAATATCATTGACCTACCACTAGTGGTTCCCCATAAACTGACCTAATCACAAACTAATACATGTAAAATAAGCAAAAGTTTCAAAGTCAATAGACCATGACTGAGGGGGCAGGGCCAAATAATCTCCATGGAAATGAGATGTGTTAATGCTAATGCAACTACATACCAAATATGATTGACCTACCACTTGTGGTGCCCCACAAACTAATATAATGTTGAAGCCGCCAATGACGCCGGAAACAGCATACCTATGTCTCGCTTTTTGACTCCGTCAAGCAAGACAATAAAAATCAGCTAAATTTTACACGGATTGTCATAAAAAAAAATGCCATTTTGACTATAACATGTATAAGGTAACTGCTTATTATGATTGTTAATATATAAATAGTCAGCTCAATATCTGATACCAGGACTGACAATTGAGAAATCTGTCATTTTCATGACAAATTTTCTATATTATTTTGTGGATCACTGAACAAAATCCAAATGTGACCTTAAACTTATAATTCTATCACTCACTATCATGATTATTTATCAAAAATAAGATAAAAATCTGCAAACAGAGCTGACAATGGGTGTTCTACGCCGCAGGTTGTAACCCCCTTTTTCAAATTGGCCTGATCCGCGCCTGATGTCATAGAAGATTTTTTTATAATGTATAACAACAGACAGGATGTGGGTGCAAATTAGATAAAAATGTGGATTCATTATTATTATTCATTGGATACCAATTTTTTGTGGATTTTGTGGGTAAAGTTAAACCATGAATTTAAATGTACAAAATTTGTATTTTCTATAGGCTTGTATGCAGACTTTGGCAAATCCACTACTGTAAATTCAGAAATTATTGCGTGCATTTATTATTGAGATTTTGTCATTTTAGACTAAAATGCGATTTTAATTTTTGCGATATTGAGAAAAATCCTGTTTAACTCATATAGAAAATTTCAAAATGCGAGTTTTAATTATTGCGATTATAACCCGGTCGCATTTTTCGCAATAATAAAAACATCGCAATAATTTCTGAATTTACAGTAAATCAAATATTCAGGCAAAAACAATTTTCCCTCCTTCCACAAAAAAATAAAAATGAATTCGTAGTAGCTCATGATCACAAGGCCTATGAGTGAGTTAAAAATCAACAGAAAAATAAAAATGAATTTGTAGTAGCTCATGATCACAAGGCCTATGAGTGAGTTAAAAATCAACAGATTTTTAAGAAATTCAAAACCAGTCCACATGAATTATATTGCCCAGTCTCAATGCAATATCCTTGCAAATGATATCTCACACATCCATACATAATAAAATCTTAATATTAATAAACAAGATCATTAAATTGGTCCAATGGGAACTTAAAAATTCAATGAATTTACAGTATTTTATCTATATTCAATTAAAATTTTTCACAATTAATTATAATTCATAAGTTTATATACAAGACAAAATAAAATAAAAGAAATATGTTATGTGGCAATCCTTCAATATCAATATTGCTGTCTTTTTGTCCCTTTCAAACCAGTAAAGCTCTGTTCTTGCTTATACATATACATATTTTTGAATAAAATTTCTACAAAAAATGTAAAATAAAAATGTTTTGCCTTATAAGATCTATCATGTGAAACATCACCAACATACTCTATGAATAACTCAAAATGAAGCAGTTAATCATAAAATGTAGGTAACAATATAATAAAAACATTCAAGAACAGTGTTTTATAACATTAAAAAAAGTGATTAAATATCCTTTACAAATATATAATATACTGGTGGACCAAAGTTCCCGAAAGCATGAAATGTGGGTCATTATTCCTAAATGGTTACTACATAAAGAATTTTCTAGTGTATTGCTATTGGTCTTTTTCATTTTGAACAAAGGGAGACAACTGCTGTAAAATTTCAATGTTAAATTAATGATCTTATTCTTCAACAGTATTAGTGCAAATGTAAGGTATGATATTGCATGAATTTTTGTCTTTCAAAATTAATTTCTTTGTTTCTCTGCAGCATGGAATTATCAAATTATGCCACACCAGATATTTGTATGAATGCCAGGAAATGATGCATGTTACATGTATGCCCCCCCAAAGGTAATCACAGAAAACATCTTAAGATCTCAGTTATTTACACAAAAACATATACAAATACATCATTCAGTGCTGCTATTTATTTTATCCATTGATCAAGCCCCTTTTTTGCACCATCAGCTAATTCTATTTCTCCTGGTAAATGTTTCAAACTTATCCTCTAAGTCTGTTAATATATTTCTTGGTAGATCTAATTCTTCTATGTTCTCCTGTTTCACTATTTGTGACAAATACTGTAGACATCGTTCCTTTAGAGGATATACTAAAAAAGAAAACAGTTATACAAGTGTAAGAACTAAAAGAGATGTGGTTGAGTGTTTAATGAATAAGCAAGGCAACAACAGGGGCAGATCCAGCCATTTAAAAAAGGGGGGTTCCTAACCCAGGATAAAGGTGGGGTTTCAACTATATGTCCCCATTCAAATGCATTGATCGTTAAAAAAAAGGGGGTTTCAACTCCCTGAACCTATTGGTTAAGAATTCATTGTACTGGAACAAACTTTGCATGGTGTAAACCATATAACAAATATCAAGTCAATATCTTCAAGCATGTCGAAAAAAAGTGTAGAAAACTGATTATTTAAGTGAATTTTCTAAGTCCAAGGACCACAACTCTGCACAAAATCATCAGACTGGAATAAAATTCGAACTTGATCTGTAACTTGTCATGATAAAACTATATACCAATTATTAAATCAATATCTTCAAGCATGACAAAAAAAAGTGCGGAAAACTGATTATTTGAGTGAATTTTCTAAGTCCAAGGACCATAACTCTGCACAAAATCATCAGACTGGAACATAATTTGAACTTGATCTAATTTTTCATGATAAAAGTATATACCAAATTTCAAATCAATATCTTAAAGCACGAAGAAAAAAAGTGGAAAACTCATTTGCCGGACTGACGGATGGACAGACAGACAGACGGAGTGCAAACCTCCCTTCCACCAGTCGGTAGGGGACTAATAAAATGTAAATTGTATACATGAGAAACTTGTAATTTTGTCACATTCACTATAAAAACTACCAAGTTTAGCTTAGAGTAGACATTTTGAGGCTACATGTATAACAACAAGAGTGCACACACTGAAATGTCTCGCCTTCTTTACTAATCATTGATATTATGTTGATAGTCCTAAATATAAAGCTTTATTACAACTGTCACATAAACTTAACATTAACCAAGTAAACTAAATATTGACCAATGAACCATGAAAATGAGGTCAAGGTCAGATGAACCATGCTAGGCAGGCATGTACAGCTCACAATTCTTCCATACAACAAATATAGTTGACCTATTGCTTATAGTTTAAGAAAAACAGACCAAAACACAAAAACTTAACACTGAGCAACGAACCTTGAAAATGAGGTCAAGGTCAAATAAAACCTGTGTGACTGACATATAGATCATAAAATATTTCCATACACCAAATATAGTTGAACTATTCATATAGTATTAGAAAAAAAGACCAAAACTCAAAAACTTAACTTTGACCACTGAACCATGAAAATGAGGTCAAGGTCAGATGACACCTGCCAGCTAGACATGTACACCTTACAATCATTCCATACACCAAATATAGTAGACCTATTGCATACAGTATAAGAAAAACAGACCAAAACACAAAAACTTAACTATAACCACTGAACCATGAAAATGAGGTCAAGGTCAGATGACACCTGCCAGTTGGACATGTACACCTTACAATCATTCCATACACCAAATATAGTAGACCTATTGCATACAGTATTAGAAAAAAAGACCAAAACTCAAAAACTTAACTTTGACCACTGAACCATGAAAATGAGGTCAAGGTCAGATGACACCTGCCAGCTAGACATGTACACCTTACAATCATTCCATACACCAAATATAGTAGACCTATTGCATACAGTATAAGAAAAACAGACCAAAACACAAAAACTTAACTATAACCACTGAACCATGAAAATGAGGTCAAGGTCAGATGACACCTGCCAGCTAGACATGTACACCTTACAATCATTCCATACACCAAATATAGTAGACCTATTGCATACAGTATTAGAAAAAAAGACCAAAACTCAAAAACTTAACTTTGACCACTGAACCATGAAAATGAGGTCAAGGTCAGATGACACCTGCCAGCTAGACATGTACACCTTACAATCATTCCATACACCAAATATAGTAGACCTATTGCATACAGTATAAGAAAAACAGACCAAAACACAAAAACTTAACTATAACCACTGAACCATGAAAATGAGGTCAAGGTCAGATGACACCTGCCAGCTAGACATGTACACTTTACAATCATTCCATACACCAAATATAGTAGACCTATTGCATACAGTATAAGAAAAACAGACCAAAACACAAAAACTTAACTATAACCACTGAACCATGAAAATGAGGTCAAGGTCAGATGACACCTGCCAGTTGGACATGTACACCTTACAGTCCTTCCATACACCGAATATACTAGACCTATTGCTTATAGTATCTGAGATATGGACTTGACCACGAAAACTTTACCTTGTTCACTGATCCATGAAATGAGGTCGAGGTCAAGTGAAAACTGTCTGACTGGCATGAGGACCTTGCAAGGTACGCACATACCAAATATAGTTATCCTATTACTTATATTAAGAGAGAATTTAACATTACATAAAATCTTAACTTTTTTTTCAAGTAGTCACTGAACCATGAAGATGAGGTCAAGGACATTGGACATGTGACTGACGGAAACTTCGTAACATGAGGCATCCATATACAAAGTATGAAGCATCCAGATCTTCCACCCTCTAAAATATAAAGCTTTTAAGAAGTTAGCTAACGCCGCCGCCGCCGCCGCCGCCGGATCACTATCCCTATGTCGAGCTTTCTGCAACAAAAGTCGCAGGCTCGACAAAAAACGGTCATATGGAAAATCCTAAACACAAGCATTTTTCATTTTGGACTTGTAAATGTAGATTTGTGATTTTCTCCTCTTTTTAATAAACATAAAATTAAATGTTTTTCAATATGTAATTTATGTACATTGTACATGTAGTTTCAAATGTCCCTGATTAATTTTAAATTTGTTGTTTGCGTTATGTCCAACGGCAAATATTTCATGCATATTGAGTATGATTGACCTCTAATAATAATGGAGATTCGATATAGCTACATGTATTGAGTGTTATCCTGGTTAAATAACAACTATTTGATATGATTTGATTGAACATTTAACTACAATGTACATGTGTACAAAAATAAGCTAAATACAACATGGACAAATTGATTAGGTTAAAAATCATACTGACTGACTTATCACATGTAGTTTTACAAAGCGATTGACTGACTTATCACAGTGAATGTGGATGCTGGTGATTGCAGATGAATCACTGTGAAAATATCTGTATACTATTCAAAAAGTATTTTATGAAAGCATCACAAAACAGTGTTTTCATCCTCAACTTCATGATTACTCTGTTTCACAATGATAAATTCAACATCAGAATGTTTTTCTAACTATAACACCCTCGGTAGTATACATGTAGTACAAAATGTATATCTTCACATATATATATATACATTTTTGTACATTTTACATTGATTGTAATAGCTCTGACTTACTGTAGAACAGACTTACAAATGTATATGATTTTTTTCAACTTTTAAACAAGGTGATAATTAAAATGAACCCTTTGATATATACATGATATACATGTACTTACATGGAATAGTTATGTTATAAACTTTTCTTTGAGGTTGTACATTGTCTTCAGGTTTCCAACCATCAGTTGGTTCAAAAACTTCTTTCATCTGAACGACCATACGATTTCCTGTGTCAGAGTCTATAAATATCCATGGATGTCCCACATAAGTGTTCACATCAACAAATTCATTAGGTCTTAAAGTTTTGTAACGTGCCCTATGACCTTCATAATTTATCCAAACAATATCAACATTATATGAGGTTTTGTTTACAAATCTTAAAAATGAACACACCATTGAAGATTTAGATTTTAGCCGTTTAGGTTGTTGGTCTGCTTCTATTTCTTCCTCGGTCATATCACATACTCAGAACTTGTGTAGTATAATTTGTTTTTGGAAATGACACTTCTGAAAAAGAAAAGACATTTTCTGTTCTTTATTAAATTTTCAAATGTGACTCTTCTGTAAGCTTCTTTTGAATATTATAAAATACTGTACATGTCTTTGCAGTCAAATAAATACTTTTTTAGAAAGACTGCATCAGGTCAGCAAAATAAATTTGTAAAGTGAGTGCAAAATGAATCATACAATTACATACGTATACATAAATCAGACTTGTTTTTTTCTCATTCAATGTTTCACATTTTGTCATGAATTCAATGCCTGGGCCACACAGAGTCTTTTATAGCTTAATTTATGACATGGTTTTTGCTCATTGTTAAAGGCAGTACTGTGACCTTAGTTGTTAGTATCCTCATCCATTTTGATGAAAGGATATGAATATAAAAGATGTCAAGTGAGCTATTTGTCACAAATTATATACATGTACATATACCCTAGTCGTCAGCCTTTCAAGAGGTCATATTCATTTGGACTACATGTACCCCAGCATTAGTCCAGATCAACTATAATAATTAGTAAGGCCAAAACTATTATACTACAGAAAGCAAAATGAAGCATAACTAGCCTGCTCAAAATCATCTTAGTAAAAATCTGACTTGATAGATTCATGAATAAATCAGATTTGTGGCACACTCACTGATATTACAGTATTAAAATCCATTTCTAGTAAATTGTTCAGAAGTATAGCCAGAAATATTACATTATAATGGACAAATGATGGACCAGACATTTATTCTGTTTACTGCCAGCGACCCCCTTTTTTATCGGTACATTTGTAACAAAAACCCTATAAAAAAGGACAGTGGCGGATCCAGGGAGGGGAGAAGGGGGGGGGGGGGGGGGTTCCGGGGGTTGGAACCCCCCTTTTTTTGACGATCAATGCATTTGAATGGGGACATATATAGTTGGAACCCCCCTTGATAATTGGCTGGACCCGCCCCTAAAGGTAGACTGTTCTTATTCATCAACTATGAGCGTATTATAAGTATCAAAACTGCATACTGATTAGCTGGTTGTTTCGTACCATAGATGAGCTAAAAAGTATATTTTAAAAAACAAAAACAATCTTTCGCTTTCATTTCTGTTTACCAAATTCACACGTACACCAATCAAATTCAATGTAACAAATTTCACAACTAGTTTACTTGTTTGACAAATAACGGCGTATTTTTTAAAAGTTATTTCCCCTTATTTTTGGCAAACTACTATATTCATTGTTTATAAAGGTACTTTCAATTAAATGAAATGTTTGAATCAATATTATTATAACGATTTAAGTTATCCTTTTTATGTTTAAAATGATAGAAAAATATATTAATACGTACAAACGATATAATAATGGTATGAAATCGGGTCATTGTCTTGAAATACATTTCGGCCCGGATTTAACAATACTGGCTTATTTCTTATTGTTATTTTTTGCGGGTAATCGTAGTAAGTGCCTATTTTGAAACCACAATTACATATACATATATTGTTTATCTGTTATCCGTTGTTACTGAAAATATTCAATAAAATACAAATTGTTTTACACTCGATAGTGAGCGAGTAAAATGCATTCTGATTAAATTACAAATCGCTTACGAGCCTTGAATGTTCAGTCCCTTCTTTTACATCAAACAATGAAATTTCTCTATCATGCCAATTTTTGAGGGTCTGTATCATAACTACAAAATGAAAGGATACAGAAAAGGCCTTTAAACCTTGAAGCAAAGTATGGACACAGGATCTGTATTTCAGATAAATAAAACTGCTTTTGTTTGAATACGCTAAAGATATATTTAAAGATATTAATCATACTTGATTGTTGAAGCATAGATATAATAGCTATTATATCTATGATGTGACTGAGACTATTAAAACATTGTGTTATAGAAGCCGCAGTCTCAAATGTAATATAAAAAAATGAAGACACAATGAAATTTCAATACTTACTATTACCAGAAGTTCATTACTAGGGGAAGTATGATTTCCGCTGAATAATGCAGGCGATCACAATGTCCCCGTGCTTCTAACTGTGATTGAAACGGAATCATTAAGCGAGATTTATATTAATAGTAACAAAAATCTGTGGTCAAATATTTTGCATTCTGAGTAGATATAATTTATGCAAAACACCCTATAATTTAATTAGCACACAGTTGAAAATAATGTTTTGACCATGGGCGTCTTAATGAATAGCAGACCCTAGATGCCATATTATAGAAAAAAGACAGTGTCATGAGTCATAATGGTTTTAATGTCAAATAATCAAAAATGTGGTATTATTTCTCAATTCAAAAACTGCAATTATTACCGTAGAAAAATTAAGCAGTCACAATTTTATTTAGGTAGCACTCCACAGCTAGGTGTGTAGTTTTGCATTTTGGCCCCTGTGGATTTTTCAAATATGAGAGCTAGTGTGCAATAAAATTCATTTTTGGATAGCTGAGGATTAAAATAGCCTTCCTATTGGGTTTATATGAACATCAAGATTATGTAATGTATGTAATATAGGCTGTTTTCTGTATGACAGTCCGTATTTGCATATCCATACCATACATTGTTCCGGCATTTATTGTAATGTTTTTTTCAAACTTTTTGTCGCACGAACTTTGTAATTAAATTTTATGAAAAAATGAGGCGAAAGACACCCATTTTTTATTTGATTATTAGGAAGATTAATGTCAACAGTTTCTAAAAAGGTATCATTCATTGGCATTGAAATTCTAGTTTGATCCAAATTTTGGGGGGATATGTGACATTTTCACCCCCCTTTTTGCAATATTTTATGGTAAATAAATGCAGAATGTTGCCATGGATACACATAGAAAGAATTATATTTCACCCTTTTAACTTTTGAAAATCAAATCTATGGAAGATACTGATTACATACATATGCACATGTACAACACAAACAGTTAGGTTAATGTATTAGAAATCCAGGAATAGGAGATGATAAAATATTTTGTGGTTCATTTTTAATTTTATTTTCTAACTGTGGAGTGCTACCTTAGGGGCAAGCTTAGGACCACCTCCGGGTGCGGGATTTTCTCGCTGCATTGAAGACCCATTGGTGGCCTTCGGCTGTTTTCTGCTCTTTGGTCGGATTGTTGTCTCTTTGACATATACCCCATTTCCATTCTCAATTTTACTAAATGTATGTTTGCTACGTTTTACAAATTTTCAGTAATAAGAGGTTTTTTAAGGTGAATTGCAATTCTGCAGATCATAATAGTAACCATTTTAGCAATTACCAAATTGTACACTCAAATGTGAAAATAAAAAGAGGAAAACATAGTTGTATGCCCTTCCCTCAATTTCAAATATCACGAATCCTGAGTAAGATCTTGGAGTACTACTATCTCGGTTAATGTTATGGACGAATAACATATCAGTCGGATATCACATTTATTGTCCATCATGCGAAATAAATACAAAAGCTATACGTTGAAATTATAGGAAAAGTTGCACGATCTATGTAAACAAATAAGTAATAAATATACAAATCAGGAATCTGATGTTCAGTAGTTGTCGTTTGTTGGTGTGGCTCATAAGTGTTTCTCGTTTCTCGTTTTTTATATAGATTAGACCGTTGGTTTTCCCGTTTGAATGGTTTTACACTAGTAACTTTTGGGGCCCTTTATAGCTTGCTGTTCGGTGTGAGCCAAGGCTCCTTGTTGAAGACCGTACTGTGACCTATAATGGTTTACTTTTATAAATTTTGACTTGGATGGAGAGTTGTCTCATTGGCACTCATACCACATCTAATCGTTTTGTAAGTATAACTCATACTGATTTATGAAAAAAAGTCTTGGTTCAACAACCTAGCTGTAATTTTATCTAATTTGTTCAAGTACTAAATCAATCTCAAGGGTTGAGTTGAGTAAAGCAATATGGTCATCCCTGGAAATCTGCAGTTCGAACGACAAGGCAAAATGTCTGCCCTATATCCAACCTGTCGTCATTTTCCACTGACAGTCCAAAATCCCCGTCCTTCATCCCGATCGATTTACAATAAAGAACTTTTAATTTTTATTAACTGTCGATTGGTTCTCGTTCTGGATATGCATGCAATATTTGCCACTGAACGGAAAGCTAGCAACAATCGATCAATCAAAACATAAATTCGCATGATATGCATGTGTCTTCAGCCTTGGGTATGTAATTACTTAAGACATAAAAAGTATATATAGACGTTGAAACGGTGGTTCACGTACATCTCACTGTGAGTTAGGCGAATGTAATGACGAACAGACAAGAATAAAGTAACCCTAAAATAAACTAAAAACAGGAAACGTTTAAAATTCGAAATTGTTTTGAAGCCATCTTCACCCACAAAGTTCGGTTATCTTAACAGATGTATTTCTGTAGAAGCGATGAAGAACCCCTTCCGTCGCTAATACATCATGGTCGAATGCTTTTTAACTATAGGCTATTTCCGAAACATTTTACATAACAATTTTACATTAGTTTTTGTCAAATAAAATATTGTACAAACCTGGCAGTAATCAAATAAAAAAAAACTGTCTGATTAAAAACAAGGCACCACTTTTTGTAGACTTTTCGTCCGTATTTTAAAATTGAAGTCACGTGATATCCGACCCTTTTGTACTTTCCCTGAGCACCCGTTTTTGCTTATTTTGATTGGTTATATATCTTTTGTCAGTGTTTCCACTCGCTTTGTTACGGCGGCGTTCCGGGTGTGCTCACATCTTATATATACGTTAACCTAACAGTGTCGCGTAGTTTGTTTACGAAAAGATTAGGTATAAAATAATTGTATCAAAAGACTTTTCACTTAAAAGATCATGTAATATTATAACACCTTGATAGCTTGTTAATTTCCGTTGTTTTTACAAATATTTGGCTGCTGTACATACATTCTATATATATACATGGGAATCAATATGTTCAAGTATTTTTGGAAAAGAAGACCATATTGTTAGACTTTATATACATTTTAAAGTTTATTTCAATTAAACTTATTATAAATCACACGGGCGTATTACATTTCCTCAAATTTTGTAAAATTGCAGTTTCTCTATTCCGTAAAAAAAATTGCACTTCCATGTTTTCTGCAATTAACATAATCAGTTACGTTTATTTTTTGTTAAGGAAAGGACCAAAATGGTTTACTGGGATATAGAAGTATGATCACTTGGATTTCCTGTGTGAAAAAATGGGAGCATTAAATCCGATGCCTCGCCACTCTATAGATACACGTTAGAGAACCCTTGCAACACTCTGTAAATAGTCCGTAGATCCTAGGCTCAATTTTTGTTTTTATCCAAAGTTTTTTTCTAAGTGGCAGCCCAATTCTTCTGACTTCCATCACGGTCAACCCATTTTGTCGAACCTATATATAATAGAATTGATTTTGTTCTTGTACTTGAAACATTTGCCAAACTGATACGTTAAAGGGACATTAGGTGCCAAATGTATGCCCAGTGAATTTCGTCAAACTCTCAAATTTAATTTAATATATATTAAAACGTAATTCGGAACTACAAAAGTTTCATAAAAACATTACAGATGTTTGGTATCATGCTGCAGCATTTCGTGTGGACCACAAGTAAAAAAAATTCTCTATCATTCCTTTGTAAAAATTTTACTATTACAGTTCTCTTCCCTTAAATGGCTAACTTGAACAAAATGATTCGAACAAACACAAATATTTGGTATTTGTTAAAACAGAATAAATAATGCAATAAATCACTTATTTTTCTTTACTCAAATAAGAGTCTTGCACATAAATTGCCAGTCTGTCTCAAAAATTGCAGATTTAAGCAAAGAACTAGACTAATTGTGTACTGCTAATTTACAATCCAAAATGGCGATAGTTTATCTACCAAAAACATTAGATTAAATGTAAATCATTTACTCCGTAAACTGTATAAGACTGTTTTTTTTGCGGGTCCGGAAAGACTGTTTTTTTTGCGGGTCCGGAATCAAGTCGGTTTTCCTGCTGCTGCCTTCTCACTACTGGTTTCACTTCTCACTACTAGTTTCACTTCTCACTACTGGTTTCACTTTTTCCGCTGACATTTGTAACAATCACTGGAAACGATAAGCACATGCGCAACCGACCTCCTACAAAGGTTGAATCAAAAGTCGCATGAATACGGATTCACATAAGAAGTATTGACTTGCAAGCAAATAATACACCAGCGATGTTTTTATGGCCCCGCCACAAAGTGGTCAGGGCCATTATATAAATAACACATAGCTGAGAGGGTGATAGAGCAGATTGTTACCCCGAGTAAACATTGTCAACTGAGGCGAAGCCAAGGTTAACAATGTCTTTTCGAGGGGTAACAATCTGCTCTATCACCCTCTCAGATATGTGTTATTTAATTTATTATACTGAATGTTCTGTTATTACTGTGTATTAAATTTCAAATTCAAAGTAATATACTATGTCGTCTTGTACGTTTGGTTCCCCTCCGCTGATTTTTGCCGAAATTCTGGGCTTCGGACTTTGAAAATTTCGTCGGAAAATAACAGGTTAATATACAGACTTTTTTTATACGCCTTCACATATTGAACTGATTTTTAGTATTTGAGTCTACTATGACGAGTTACAGATCGAGTTTAAGTTTTGTTCCGCTCCGCTGATTTGTTCTAAATTGTGTTCTTTGGACTCTTGAAAATTTCATGAAAATGACAGTTATACAGACTTTCATTCTGAAATTTCAACTCCTAAAAATGGCTTCAAGCTTTATTTGGGAGCGGGGCCTTTCTAGTTTTTATCTTATTTTGACAAAAATGAACCAAACAGACTGCTGATAGCAAAATATTATTTCAATATTTTGCTTTTATTAATGTTTGATAAAAAAAAAACCATTTAAACTTTTTATCTTAATCGTACCTAAAGGCCTTTTAGCAAGCATCGATCAAATAACCACTAATGAAATAAATACATAATTATAATGTCTGTACATACATATGATTTGCTCCTTCAAAAATCAAAACATTGTCTGCATGTGTTTCATTTGGTTATAACTGAATTCATTTGATTAATAATACATTATTCATAAAAAAAAACAGCACATATATAGATGTTTGTGATAAAGAAAAAAAAATTCATATAGAAAAGAAACAATATTTCAATTGATAATAAATGAACACATGACAAAATAGGAAACTTCTACCCTTAGTTCTAATGATTTTTTCAAATTTTTTTCCTTCAGTAAACGCACTAAAAAGAAACAAGGATTGTTTAAAGTCGCAGTTTAGACCCAATTTATTATAAATATTGTCTCGTTCTGATGATGGGTGTTTACAATGGTTTAGATGTGCTTGGAAACCTATATATACAATTTATATAAATCTAAATCCATGCAAAATTGCAAAAACTCAAGCAACGGGGATCAATTTTCTTCGTGTAAAGCAAAACTACCAGTTTGATGGAATTCCTCAAACTTGGCACCAAAGATCTTTAAACACTTAACTTGTCAAGATACATTTTGTAGATGAGCAAATTAAAGAATACAGATATTAATGTTAGATCTAACACTTGTCGACTATTTTTGAATCTTAAATTACACAAATATCGCTCTTGTAGGCAAAGAATTTGTGAACATTATACTGTACGTATAACCGGGATTACACAGTTTACAACTTGGCCGGAATATTTATTAACAGTCAACCAAACAGCCCATTTAGAATGTTTACATCAGCCGTACACATGTTGTAAAGTCAACATATGTTTAAATGATTATTAAGTTGCCATTAAGATTGTATAATCGTATCATTCGTTCATTTCTGACATTATTTTTCTGTTTGAATTATTTCCCGACCAAAACAGCTGAAGTAGTGTATCATACACCATTTAATTTAGGTGCTACAAGAGTTCCGGTTCCACTGAAACTTACAGATACCTGTTCTGTGATTGACATGTCAAAACAACAGTCATGTAAAGACGTCACAGTTCATGCAGCTCATATTGAGGAAGTTCACAATGTACCATTAAATGTTATCATCCGGCCAATACCGTCCATCTTAGAAGAGGAGAAGGTTGACTCTCTTATGCTTACAATACAGGTAAATGCCACAGAACATTTTCGTATTTTCTTATTTCTTGTTTATTACATAGGTACTTGGGGACAGGACAATTTTTTTTAGCCCTCCCCCTTTTTTCCAAAAATTGTTATTTTTTTGTTTTCTATTAATTTCATTTATTTTTGCGTTTTTTGTATACTATGAACATACATATATATACTATAAATAACTTGTATATACTTGCTATTTACTATCAATTCCAAATTTACTATCCATATATAATTTGTTTTGAATGCACACGCATAAAAATTGCGGTTTTTATCCAACGCAATCCTAGGTTTAAACGTTGTTTTCAATTTAGACTTTTTTTATATTTTTTCATTTGGGCTTGTATTATATTTGCCTTCGGGTTTATATATCAGATCCGTTCATCCTATTTCGACTCTTCAAAGTTCAAGAGTCTATCCTAAATTGAGGTAAATTATATGGCCTTCCAAATACCGTTTCGATACACTGACTTCCCAATCATTTATCCCATCAACAATTAAACTTTGGAATAATTTGAACATATCAGTTCGAAATGTAGACTCATTATCAAAATTCAAAGTAAAATTAAAAAACCACGACATTCGAAATGAGAACCAATCTAAACATTATTTATATGGTCCAAGAAAATTGAATATAATATTAACCCAATTTAGATGTTCGGCATCCTTCTTGAATTGTGACTTGTTTAGAGCTAACATTATATCTGATCCAACATGTAAATGTGGTTTGGATATTAAGGACATGCACCATTTTTTCTTTGATTGTCCTTTCTATCTAAATGAAAGGGCTATTCTTTTTAATGGTCTCAGCTGGCTTCCCGAAGGCTGCGAGTTGGACTTAAAACTATTGGTTTTTGGAAAAGAAACTTTTTCCTATGATCAAAATTTGCAAATTGTTAAACAAGTATTCAATTTTATAAAGAGATCAAAACGATTCCTCGTAGTATAGTATCTATATATATAGATCTTATAGATCTTTATTCTCATTAACTAAATGACATAGTTACAGAGATGAAAATATAAACAAAATACAACATATTTTGCATGTGTGAAATATACATAAATAAATGTAATTTAACCAGGAGGACAGACTTTCACTGATATATAGTTTATAAATCTACACAATTTTTCTAGTAAGACAATATTGACTGTAGTGAATACATTTTTAAATTTAAGAATATTAACATTTGTACAACAATAGTGTGGTAAATATTTATATCGTTCTTTTTTGAAAAAAGGACAAGACATTACATAATGGAATTCATCGCCGATGTCAGTAGATTCACAAAGGTGGCATAGTCTCTCGGGTCTTTGAACATTTTGCCACCTCCCTGTCTCCACTGGCAAACGGTGATTGCCACATCTAAATTTACATAGTTTCAGTGCATTATTTAACGATAAAATTGAAATATAATTTTCAAATTTAAGTTCTGTTTTGAATAATTTATAACATAGACCTTTTGATGATTGATTTACATTTGCTAGCCATTCTTGTCTAAACTGATCTTTTAACTTTTGTTCAATGCTTAATACAATCCATTTTTTTGAGATACAATCTTGATTTTGTCATATGTTTGACATTCCACAATTATCAAAAATACTTTTGATACATAACAACCATTTGTTTTCAATTCCATACTTATTAAAATTAATATATATCAACTTATATAACATTGACGAAATCTTGTTATCAAGTGTGTTATCAAGAAGGTTACACCAAAATTTTATCATCCGTAATTCAACGTATAAAGAAATAGGATATCTTCCCAATTCCCCGTAAACCATAAAATTTGGAGTCGATCTTTTTAACCGTAAAACATGTTTACAAAAACTCAAATGTACCCTTTCCAAAATGTCAAGATTTTCGTATCCCCAGATTTCGGCCCCATATAAAAGTATAGGTAAAACAGCTTTATCAAACGTATCGAGCTGGCATTCTATAGATAGATGGTTAGATCTACACTTCTTAATAACACAATACATAGCTCTAGTAGCTTGATCTTTAAGATATTTTCTAGTTGCAAAAAAAGAAGCATTTCTAGAGAATATAACACCAAGGTATTTATACTTCTTAACAATTTCTATCTCTTCGTTATTAATATAAAACTTCAAATTATTCTGTGGTCTACCTTTTGAAAATATCATTACCTTTGTCTTGTTAACATTAATTTTAAGTTTCCACTTTTCACAATATTGAGAAAAACTATTTAAAAGTAATTGCAGATCTGTGCTTGTCTCAGCGAGTAAAATCGAATCGTCAGCATACAATAAGACAAATATCTTAAAATAAATATCCAGTTCATCTTCTATATCAGAAGTAATTGAATGTATACCTTTCAAATCGCTATTTTCTAAAAATCCATGAAGATCATTTAAATATAAAGAAAATAATAAAGGAGAAAGATTTTCTCCTTGGCGGACTCCAATATCACTTACAAACATGTCAGATGCTTCATTATTATGTACAACTCTTGATTTAACATCTTTATACAAATTTTCTACAATTCTAAGAAATTTACCAGTTATCTTATTTAAAACAAGCTTATACAGAAGTGAGTTTCTTTGAACAAAGTCGAAGGCTTTTTCAAAGTCAACGAATACACAATGTATTTTTTTTCGTTTGACACATAGCAACTCGAAGAGTGCATATAATGAAAAAATATGATCGTTGGTAGAGTAGCCCTGTCGGAAGCCTGCTTGGTTTTCGTTCAAGATATTTAGTTCATCAACAAATTCCCCCAATCTATCATTAAGAATAGATGTAAAAATCTTACCGAGGCATGACAATAAAGTAATAGGCCTATAATTTTTTGCTTCTAATTGACATCCTTTGTTCTTGAACACTGGTATTATGTTTCCAATAAGCCAGGCCTCCGGCAGAATACCCGTATCAAAAATAAGATTAAACAATTTAGAATATACATCAATCATACTGTCAAGAGAATTTGCAACATATTCATTGATTATTTTATCTTCACCTGGCGATTTGTTGTTTTTCGCCTTTTTAATAGCTTTAATAATTTCGTCATGTGTAATTACACCATTCAGTGTCTCATTTACATGATCAGAGTACAAATCATTATCGATGACAAACTCGTCTTCAAACTTGTTTTCATTCAATTCTTTAAAAAAATCAAATAAAGTTTCAATAGATATATTGCTTTTTTCTCGTTGTCTACCTCTGTTAAAAAGTTTCCAAAATTCTTTGGGATTTTGGATTTTAATTTTTTCATATTATCAGTTATTTCTTTATTATACTTCTTAATGTTTTCATCCATTACACTTTTATAGTAATATTCACAGTGTCGTAATCGTTCTTTAAATAAATTTGACCCATAATGTTTATACATTCTTTGTGCCTTTCTCAGTTCTTTCTTTGCCTTTTTACAATCAAAATTATACCATTGTTTATTATGCTTTCTATTACAATTCAGCATATTTCTATTAAAATTATGTGTACCAAATGTTGCTTTTGCAGAATCAATAAAAATATCAGTAATATTTGTAACTACAGTATTTATTTCATATTTTGTTACATTTTCTTGATTACTATAAACAGATAATTCATCAATAACATTTCTTATTTTGTCACCATCTATGTTATTCTTGAAATCATTCACTTGCTCAAATTTCCATTTTCCAATTTTATTTTCTTCTTGGTAGGATAACTCTGTAGTGTGTAGTTCAAATGAAGGGTTCATCATATTAATAGATAGTTTCATAGGTGAGTGAACATCAGAAAAAAGTTTAGAAAATTCGAGAACTTCAAAATTCGATACGCATCTTAAAAAGTGTGAAGTACAAACAATATAATCTATAACACTATTATTTCTACTGGTAGGTCGACCAATAACATCTTGACCAACTCTACCGTTTAAAATAAATACTTTGTTATTTTTACAAAATTCAAGAAACTTTCTCCCATAACAATTTACAACTTTGTCTGGATTATTTCTTGTTCTTGATATATTTAAATCGTCTAACATATATACATCAGTATAATCAGATTGATCAGTAAGGTTGTCAATAACAAAATCATCTATATCATCTTCATCATAAAAATCGGACAAATTTGCTGTTCGACTGTTAAAGTCTCCAACCAAAATAATATAATCAGATTTTTCAGAAAATCTCTGAAGTTCAAGTTCTATCTCATTAAAAGCTTCTTCAGATGTATAATTTGTATTTACTGGTGGTATGTAAACTATACCAATAAAAACGTTTTCAGGTAAATTTAAAACTTTCTTATCAATAGTAAACCAATAAACAAATTTGCATTCAGTTTCAATAGGTTTAATATATTTTTCTAAATACTTCCGGTAGCCTAAAGCAATACCACCAGATCTATGGTTAGAAAGTTTGTGTCTATTTTTAAAACTAAAAATAAATTCATCACAATTAATTAAGTCGCAATCATCTAGTTTAGTTTCTGTAAGACAGATAATATCATGATTACACAATAGGGATTTAAATTCAGGGTAAAGTAATCTATTTTTAATACCACATACGTTTAAACATAACAGGTTAATAATATTGTCAGTTTTATTTACAGTTAAATTCGAATCACAAAGGTGAAAGTCACAGGTATCGGTTGACTGGTCACTTCGTTCTGTATCTTTGCCTCCAGGGTTGTCCTAATATTGTTTTTGGAAACGTCTCCCGTTGTTTTTTCTTTGAGTTGATTTTGGGCGAGCGCCTTCATCATCGTAGTTTCGTCTCGGTTGTTGTCTTGACACTCCAGAGTTTTGCTGATCGGTTTTCTCTGGTGGAAAAAATTCAACTCCATCTATGAAGAGGCGATCCCTCCTAAAGAATGCCTTTTTACTCTGTCTTCGTGCTTCTTGGAAGAATGGCCATAACGATTTTCGTCTGTCATTAATTTCTTTAGGAAACTGCTCACTAATGCCGAAACCAGTACCTCTCAATTCTCTTGCGGCTTTTCGAACAAACTCGCGTTCTTTAAAGTTTCTGAATCTACAGACAATTGGCTTTGTT